AAGTGCCTATGTATCAAATTTCATTCAAATACTTTTATAAGTAAAAAAGTTTGCAATTCGGTTTATAAATGGTCGAGATGCGAAAAGGGCACTGTGAATTTTGAATCGATTCGATTCAACTTTTGGCATTGCGTATTATATGGCTAAAGCTATGCCCATATTGAATTTCATGCAATTCAGTTCATAACTAACGGAGATGTAAAAGCGATCGAACATTTCTAAACAAAGTTATCGTTCACACGGACAGATAGATGGACAGACAGACAAAGGAACAGACGGAGAGACCAACCGGCAGGCGACAGATAGCAATGCAAAATTATAAACGATCTCTAGGATCGTTAATAAACGGCAAAAGTGTAAAATTATGGAACATGTAAAAAACGGTTTTTTGTTTTTTTTACAATAACTTTTTTTGTAAGCGGTACAGAAAAAATTCCTTCCTTGGTACAAGACTCGACACCATAACGAACCAAATAGCGAAAAAAGTAGAACAATAGCTCTTAAGATAAAGAACTAGTAGCGTCGCAAGTTAACGGACGGACGGACGGACGGACGGACAAAGTGGCCACAATAGCGCATTTTTTTTTATTTTTGTGGAAATGCGCTAAAAATTGCATTGCTGTTACTAGCTAAATTACTTAATTGCGCCACTGTGTGCAATTTGTTACATTCACACTAAAGTAAATTGCTCTAGTGCGCGACTCCGCTTAAGAGGCCCCTCTCCTGACGTGAAGAGACATGTGTTCTCGTTGCTGAGAGACTATTGGCCTCAATAGTAAAATACTCTCGAATTTCTCGCCAATTTATAATGGTGTTACTTGTCGCATTCGTGTGGTTGCTTCACTCGGTTGCGTTTCGTCCTTCAAGATATCGTACTTGGGTTTGCGTACTGCCAAATGGGTATTGATATAGAGCTTTGCAATCCATCAAAGTTTTGGTAATTCTGTTTCATTTTCGGGGTATCAAATTACATTTTCAAGTCATCCAAGCTCAATGACCTCTTCTTTGTGGTGTCAGATTATATTGTCAAGGCCATCCAATGTGAATGACCTGTCAAATTAGATTTCCAATATCATCAGAGGTCAATGACTATTTTGTGTAACCAAAAAAAGTTTCAAGGTCATCCAAGGCCAATGACGTCTCAAAAGGAAATCTTGTTATTTTAGTTCATTTTTGGGTGCCAAATTACACTTACAACGCCAATGTTTGTGGTGTTAAATTACATTTTCAAGGTCTCCCACGGTCAATGCAAACATTTTTCTGGTGTCAAATTACATTTTCAAGGCCATCCAAGATTAATTGACTTAATTTATGGGTGCCAAATTACATTTCCAAGGTCAACGACAACATTGTTATGATCTCCATACAGTTTTAAGATCATCCAAGGCCAGTGACTCCTTTTTGGGATTCAAATTATATATTCAAGGTCATTCAATACCAATGACCTGTCAAATTTAATTTCCAATATCATCCGAGGTCAATGACCCTATTTTTGTTTAACCAAAGTACATTTTCAAGGTCATCCAAGGCCAATGACGTCTCAAAAGGAAATTTTATTTTAGTTCATTTTTTGGGTGCCAAATTACACTTACAACGCCCAATTTTTGTGATGTTAAATTACATTTTCAAGGTCTCCCACGGTTAATGCAAACATTTTTCTGGTGTCAAATTAGATTTCCAAGGTCAACGGCAACATTGTTATGGTCTCCTTTTACAGTTTTAAGATCATCCAAGGCCAGTGACTCCTTTTTTGGGGTTCAAATTATATTTTCAAGGTCATCTAATGTCAATACCCTCATTTTTGTTAAACTAAACGGCTATAGTCACTAGATGTAGTGGTAAAACTGATCGTGGTGTGTCAAATTTGCATTTCTAAGACGTTTAAAGGTCACTGGCTACTTTTGTGTAGTCAAAGTATATTTTTAAGGTCATCCAGGGTCAATGACCCCATTGCTTGTAGTTTCGAATTACCTTTCGTTTAAATTTGTTATAAGAATGACGGACTGCGTCTACAACTGAAAAAATAAGGCCGACTGCCCTAAAATTAACTTAAAAAGATGTATACGCTCTTCAACCGTCGCGAAACAAGAAGCTGTTATCGCAACGATCTTTTATAAAATACTAAATTTGACCGGATGTGCGTAAATGTATATAATCGATAAAATTAAAATGAAAACTACCTTATTTCATTTTTGTGGGGTGTCAAATTGTATTCACAAGGTCTCGCAAGGTCAATGACAATACTTGCGTGGGCTCAAATTACATTTCAAGGTCATACAAGGTCAATGACCGCATTGCTTGTAGTGTCGAATTACCATTTCAAGGTCATACAAGGTCAATTAACCCAATTTTTGAGGTGATACATTAAATTTCCGTAATCCAAGGCTAACGATAACATGTTTGTGATGTCAACTTACATTTTCAAAGTCATCCAAGGCCAATGACTCCTTTTTTGTGTTGTCATATTTCCAGACCATCCGAGTTCAATGATTGTATGCTACTTCATATTCATCCAAGGCCAACGACCCAATGTGTTGTGGTGTCAAATTACATGTGCACGGCCATTCAAGGTCAATTGTACCATTTTTGTGTCAAATTACATGTTCAAGGTCATCAACGGTCAATACGAAACGTTTTTTCAGACCTATCTACATCTGTCTTATCTTCTTCACGTCTTTTAATGCCCACTTTCTAAGGTTTTTCCACACCTCCCTCGCGATTTCTTCACGTTTCTTTCTTTCGCGTCTCATTCACGACTTCTACAAGCCTTTTTTCCTTTGCACACCCCCTTCATTATCGTTTCAGAGCTCAACCTCTTCACGTCATTTTTACGCCTCTTTACCCAATCTTTAGGGTTTCGTTATGTTCTCTTCGGGCCACTTTTACACTACTCTCGAATGTGCGTCCCTATTTTATTCACTTTCTCTTCAGGTACCTACACCGTTTTCGCCTTTTCTACGACTTCACACGTCTTCTTTGCATCTCTGTTACGTCTCATTTAGGCTTTCTTCGCATTTCCTTCCAATCTTTCGCATGCATCTGTTTCTGCCCTCCTTGCATGTCTATCTTTAACCTCTATTACACTTTCTTCATCCCCTTTTTTACATTTCTTTAATGTTTTCTTTCTCACCTCTCTCTTGTCTCGTTCGCACCTACTTTACTTCGTCTTTGCGTCTCTTGCACATTTTATTCACGAGTTTTTCAAGTTTTATTCACATCTTTTTTTGCGCCTTCGTCCTTCCTGTGCCCTCCCCCTCCACTGCATACTCATTTCAAACTTTCGTCGTGCTCTTTTCACGTTCTTTTTCACATCTACTTTGTGTGTCATCCGATTCGCGCTTCTCTTCCCACTGTCACACTTCCTTCACGTCATTTTTGCACCTTCTGTAAGTTTTCTAAGCGTCTTCTTTAGGTTCTAAACCCACCTTGCGCCTCCTTTACGTCTTCTCATTCTGCGCTTTCTTTAAAACCCCTTTCACCGCTTCCCCTTCATTTCCGTTTCAAACCTCAGTTTCGGTGGCTGTTCAGACGGTAGAAACTTTTAGCATTTATTAAGAAACCCGACCGAACTTTTTCCGAGATCGGGCAACACGCGTTAATTTGTTATAAAAATGACGAATTGCGCCTACAACTAAACAAATAAGGCCGACTGCCCTAAAATTAACGTCAAAAAATGTACACGCCCTTCAACCGTCACGAAACAAGAAGCCGTTATCGTAACGACCTTTTATAAAGTACGTAAATTTGATCAGATGTGCCTAAATGTATATAAAATTGAACAATTTATTTAAAATCGATAAAATTAAAACGAAAACTACGCAATTACAAACAATTCTAAAGGAAAAACAAACACTGAAATACAAATTCGCGCGAACCAATCATGAGCTTATTTCTTACATAATCCTCTCTCGCACTTGATCTCTCTTTCCCCTTCTTCTTCTTTATGCCCGTTTCGAATCTCCATCCATCCATTTTTTTACGAGGGCCCACTTTGGCTAAATCGCGAACCAAGGAAGTACAATATCTAAAAAAAAGTGATACTACTTTGGGGGGGTTAAATTAAAACCGTTGATCATAGAAAACGCAAATGTTAGAATATTAGTATCTTTTAGGTTCATTTTATATGATAGCAAATTACAAAAAATGAACTCGACCTCGCCTTTCAGTACAGGCAGAATTGATCAAATTTTCTAAATTAGTTCAATGACACGACGCATAAATGTGGGTGGGGAGAAATTACGAATTTATTTCCGAATTCTGACGCTGGCCAAATTCTGTTTAGATTTCGTAGCGCAAGTCTTCCTCGCAATTTTAACAAACAGGGTATATCATCTGTAACGGTATCGTGGGGGTAAGTTAAATATGGTGTTGTCTTGCAAGTTGCTATTGTGCTATGCTGCATGAGTACGTCTCAGTCATTTGAAACCGTCCCTTTCCCACTTACGCTTACACTAATTGACGACGTTTAGTTTGTTCGGCAAAACTCACGGCGGCACGTCGATCGACGTGAAGGAATTCGCCAAGGGTCTGCATCTGCTCGATGATTCGGAACTGGAGGACGAGACCATGTGCCTCGGCGGCAACGATCCGCCGTCGCCGTCGACTGAAGTTCCTTTTCGGGCGTCGTTCCAATCGGAGGAAGACTGCACGTTGCTGTCTAGGTACCGGTGGTTTGTCACTCGGTGTGTAACTCGCGCACTTTTTTAGGTCGACTGATGAGGCTTTGCTGACCAATGACAGCTTTAATACAATGCAAGGTTGTGTGCGAAGAAAAGCAATACTGAAAGAAGGCCGCAAACCGGCTGTCGCATCCTGGCAGAGATACTGGCTTCAAATTTGGGCGTCTTCTTTAGCTTACTTCTCTCCTAAGAATTTTAAAGGGTAATTAAATATGTGCCCCCTAATCACAATTATAACATAACCCATTTTACAGTTCTCGCCGTTCGGATTTTAAAAGTGAACCTTGCAAAATGATGTCACTTGTAGGTTGTACCGTAAAACTTAGTGATAATCCGTTGCATTTGGACACATTTCACATTATCGATCACCATCGAGGTATGTTCCTCCGGCATTCATTTGCGTACTTTACGTGCGTGCGATTTTAGGAAATGTCTACAAATTCAAAACGGGAAGCCAAAGTACCGCGGACAAATGGTGCCGTCGCTTACAGCACGCTTCGTCGGGCGAGACCAATCCGTTGCCCGCAAATTTAATGTCATTTGAATAATTCGCGTTGGCGAAGAGCGAATTTTTTCCAGTAATTGATGTGCTTCGAAGAGTATCTAATTTTAAGTCCTAGGCACCAGTGTTCAATGTGATTTTTTTTCCTGTACATGTTCATTTTATTAAGTTTTGTATTAAATTAGTTTAGCGCTTTTATACAATAAATATTTCTAATTACTTTTGCTACCTATCCAGAGGCAGTGCAGTTTTCAAGCTCCGTAGCTCTCGTTATCAACGACCGGATATGACTCAGCTCGACCGTACATTATTTCTCCTTAATTTCGCCATATCTCCCGACTTTCAGTCTCCTCACCCTTTATACACAAATAACTGGACAAGTTCGTACACGGAAAAACGCGCACGGGCTCCCGTTACAGTACCCCCTTTCAAACTAATTTTCTTAATTAAGGCAGCTAACCTACATAATCGGGAGCTTGTAAATCGCTAGATCGCGACAACGAAAGCAATTCCCTGAAGAGATAAATAGGGGAGGCGGAAGTACCCCCGGAACAACCGTATAAAGACTAAGTAGAGAGGTACATTGAATGAAGAAATACTTCTAAATTATAAAGAAAGTGCAAAGCAAATCAAATAACTGACGTACACGGAAACTATTAACAAAAAAAATCAAAAGAACGCTCACGGTTTCCCGTTACAGTACCCCCTTTGAAATACCTAGATCTTCTTTCCTGGCCCATTCTTCGTCCGTAATCACCATCTTGCATCTTCGACACACCGAGTCTGTTCTTTCCTTGCGCCAGTAAAGCCCCGTATCTCCTCGGTCATCAAAGGGTTTCAAGGGGGGTACTGTAACGGGAACCCGTGAGCGTTTTTTTGTATGTGGCCCGAGGAAAGCGTCAGAGAACCTTGTTGGGAAACGAAGTGGCCTTACATAAGACAGCCGTGAGGGATAAGGTGCAAGATCAGCCAGAATTCGCGAACGTGTGGGAAACTTGCAAACCCGCCTCAAGGGAGGTATAGACCACCTTTAAAAAAGAGAGGCGGTCATAAAGGAAGAGGGGGAGAAGAAGGATGAAAAAGACATATATCTTTGCGGCCGCGATCGAGAGCAAGACAGACGAAAGAGGGCAAAAAATGTCATACACCCCACAATTTTTAAATACATATACAGTATGTTCGAGGCAAGAGGGTTTTTTAAAGATATTTGAAAATTTGCTGTACGACACCATAAAATGTGCATAAAATAATAAAATGGAGAAATTCGTGAATCAATGTTTCAAATCCTGGAGTCCGGTACTATTTAAGGAGGAAACGGGTAAAGTTGCAATCCGTCGCGATTTGTAGCGATACGATAGAAATTCAAAGAGGGCGCGCCGGAAAGAATTTTGTGCGGGTAGATCTACAAGGTGTAGGAGAGCTGAGGGGCGATCTCGGGGAGCTAACTAGAGAGCCAAGAGGAGCGAGCGATCGTTAAATTATTCTTTCGGGAGAATGAACTAACTCCTGGGAATCTCTGGAGACTAACAGATGCGGAACGGAAGTGGAGGAGATGATATAGCCTCACTGGACCTCGTGGTTCTGAATAGAGGAAACTGCCTCACGTTCGAAAGCGGAGACAGAAACTCCATCATTGATGTCACTTGCGCCAACGAGAGCCGCGGGATTGGAAGGTCGAGAAGGAGGAGTTCCTCGGCGACCATAAATACATCGCTTGGAGGCTGGAGGCACGCGGCACACAAAATAAACCCGAGGTCGAAGAGACGAATGAAGGGGCCAGGGGGGGTCCAAAAAGTTGAGGAGATCCTGGGGGGCGCAGTGCTGAAGTCGCAAACGCACCAGGACCTGGAGCACGTGATTTGTCGATGGGCGGGTTAGATGTCCACTGATGCACCCAGGAGAACCGATGGAGATAAGACGCGATACGAGGAGGAGTACCGAGCCCATATGAAGGGTTATAGGACTGCGGTGGAATGCAGCAAAAAGGATTGCTTGATACCGCTGTGCTTGAATCTCGAAAACGTGTGGGGCAAGGCGTACAAAATTATAGCGGGAGAGCCCAGGGCGGCTACAGAGAGTGGTCGGTACCGACGAAGATGCAACATCTATTCCCATGACGACCGAGGATACTACGAACGGGGGGTGAGCAGGAGGACCCATCCCATCCTTTTGCCTGCGTTTCAAGGACTTGGGGAGAATATCGCGCTCAACATTTTTCACTCACTTTACACAGGATGGGCCTTTAATGGTGGAGGAGGATCGATATAATAGGAATTTCTTCTTGGAATCTTATCCAAATCTTGCCCATCCTTTCTCGAATTGTTCTTTTCAAGAAACCTTAATTTTCACATTTGTTCTCAAATCTTGTTATAATATCAAACAATTTCAAGTTCCAAATTCGAGGAGTTGGAAAAGAAATCGTGAGCTAGCTTCGTGATTTTTTTTACGTTAATTGCATATCCATTAGGTTAGTAATTTTGTTCTTTGTTGTTGCCGGCACTTTCTCTTTTTTAGGGGAATTTTTCGAAAGATAGAAATTTCCCCTTATGTGATGGTTTTATCCGTCTGTTCCTCTTCTATCTCGAGAACGAAAAGAGATAGCGACGTCAAACTTTCTCCTATCGGTTTCTACGAGTTCAAGGATCAGTGCTATTGAATATGAGCCGGATCAAAAGTCTTGTTTCCGAATACGAGCTGAGTAGCACAAAATTCCCCTGCAGAAAATCGTATACGATTCTTCGTATCTTGTTTGCTTCGTCCTAGTTTGTAATTTTCCCTTACCTTTGAATTTGTTTTTCCTTTTTAGGATTCCTTACAAAAAATGATAAAATTGCACATATAAAAACATTAAGTGTGTGCTGGAATTGACTTTATAATAATTTTCTCATACGTAAATGAAACTAAAAATATGTTTTATGGTACTTGTTTATGGGGCCATTCAAATTGAAAATCAAGGACGGCTGTGAGAGATGTTTGATAGCTGATGTTTGCTACAATTCGGTTTTTTTTTGTCAAGTGTGATTCCTAGATATTTCACGGACTTTGTAAATTGGGGGTGTTCTTGGAATAGCAGGGGATTCTCCCTGGTATTATACCATCCAGTCCTAGTGATGTGTGATGCTGAGAATGATTTCACCGTCCAGGTCACCCTCTCCGCATTCACCATTCCACATTCACAACCACCAGTCATTCTCCGTGGAAATGAAGGGGGTGGGGCCAAAAACAAATATCAGAAAGAGAGGAAGAAATAGAAGGGTGAGCTGGGACATGAATATATTATAGGAACCAAGGAGTAGACTAATAAATAGAACATGAAAAATGGGAAGAATACGAGAGGAATTGAAAGAGATTAATTTACTGGTTTACATAAGAGGTAATGATTGTTAGATGGAAGACTACGCAATGCTACTGAGTTTCATAACTAGAAACATCCGTTTGATGAGAAAAATCAGGAGAGAAAAGAATGGGGACGATACTACTCTTTTAAACAAAAGCTGAATCACATTCGTGGTACAAAAAAGCATTCTTCCTCCTTAAATAAACTGAAAAAGAAACGAGAGTAAAGGAATTTGGAACGAACCTACGGTACCAACTTATAACACCAATAACTCGACGGGCGTCTGAGACATTAAAAGGCGGGAGGGGTATATTAGAAGACCATCCCTTAAATATTTCAGTTCAGGTGTACAGATATGCAATTTTATGTTTACGCGAGGTCAGAAAGATTTGTTCCAAATGCTTCTCGAAGATAGACGTAGCTCTCACAATATCATCAGCGCCTAAACGCGATCGACCAACCTTTGGAAGGCGACGGCAGAATTGTGTAAGCCAAATGGCATTCTGGTGAATTGAAATAATCCACGACCTTGACCAGTAAAAGCATTTAAGGGTTAGGTAGACAATTGAATTTGCCAATAAGCAAACTGTATGTCTAAACTAGGTGAATGGCGAGCGTCACGTTAACAATCTAGAATTGGAGTAATGCATGGAAAAGGATAGGCGTCTTTTTCCGTCGCAGCGTCTAGTTTCAGAAAATCAAACTCCTCCCAATTCGAAATCGGCCCGGGTGAGTTGCTGACGTTGGAACAAACATTGACCACAGATTGCTTTGAAGATTCGAGCTCTCCTACGTTTTGCTTTGTTTCATTTCTTTGTTTCAGTGAAGTCACCTATGACGCGATCCATATCCAATAGTATTTTACCATTTCCTATTTTCTTGTATTTCGCTTTCAGTGGTTAGTTACTATGTAGCTCGATACGTAGGTATTCTCCTAAGCTTGAGAGGTTACACCCTGTTTGTTCCAACTGACGACGATACACACATTTTTGAGAGTTGGCAACCATGCAATTTCTAAGAGGGGAAAAGCTGCCTGCGCCATCTAGAAAGCAGGAACGTGGGTTACGTTTGGCATCTTGTCTTGAATGGCGGTCGCGAAGGCGTCGGTACATAAATGTTTGTTGTTATCTTGTGTTATTTAATGCAGGTAGTATCTTTGCATTTCTTGTCCCTGAGGTAACATTCATATAAGTTTTGATCATTTATTTTAATATGTGGAAATTACCGATTCGTTTGATGTATGTACTTACTTGTGGTTTGTTACTAACAATTTTCTCCGTAAACGAAGCAGTCAGGGGGTGGTAAAAACTGTAGTCAAAATTGAGCTACGACACCTAATTCCGTGATTGTCTTCGACATTCAACTGTAGGCTCGAAACCCCGAACGAGGGGCGACGCTACCTATCTTGCGGGGGCGAGATAGTGCTAATCAAAACAGTTTAGGATCTATGTGCGATAAATGAGTTACGATTCGTAATTTCCACATATTTCGTCTTGAGTTAAATTTGCCTACAAGGCCATGTAATTTTCCATCTTGTTTTTAACAAAAGGCCTTTATTATTGCACCAAAGATGAGTCACATCCTGTGTATTTCACCCTTTCTTAGAATCTTGGTACCTGCTTACCTGACCCATAATAATTCCCAAAACTTGTTTTTAACCTATATGTTACCTCTTGAAGTTTACCTGCTACTTTTTGTGATGTTATAATTTTATGTTACGCATTCACATCATTACAAACAATTAATTTTAGAACACAATTTGATATTAATTTGACGGCTGGTTTTTTTATTGGTAAGTTCTTTCTTTCCTAGCCTATTTCTATTTTTTTTCGGTGAACTACCATTTTCAAAGTTTATTTTTGCAATGTAATTTATTTCGACTTAAATTTCCGAGCTTTCACTATCATAATAATTGCGATCATTATTAAACAAACTTTTCACAACTTAAGTGTTTTATTTTACGTTCCTTCCCTACTGTGCTTTAGGTCAAAGCGTTGTTTACAACTTACAACGTAAGAGGGCCCTGCCTTAGATGTTTTATCACGTGCCACATTTCAAATTTAACCGGGATCTTGTTTAATTTTGGAGCGAATCTTCATTCGGGTGGCCATTTTTAAACGTTGCCGGGTTGACTTTATTTCCGTGTTCTTGTAGTGTGAAGTTAGCGTAGAACCTGATGGTTAAGTACACTACTAGCTTGTTAGGATTATTTATAACCTGCAACGAAGGTAGCCTAACCCGTGTAAACGGTAAATGATTTGATTGAATTTCCTATCTCACACACCTTCACTGGGACCTTGATCTCACTAAATTCGCACTAATTATGAGAATAACGCGGAACTGTGTAAAGAGTCTTAAATTTAATTTATTAAAATTTCAATTTGCATAATACATGATGATTTTCATGTTTGATATTATGCTAATTTGGAATATGACGCCCATTGTGCCTACTTATTTGCGTTAATTCAAATCAGGTACTAAGAGAAGCTTGTGAAATAGCGGAGATGATCTTCAAAATTCTGCTGATAGTGGCTTGCAGCTTGTCAACGATACTCGCCTTTAACTCCAAGGTAAGCGTTCGTCACTAGACCGAAATTGATTTTATTACTTCAGAAAAGCACCGAGGATATATTTTCTGAATGGAGGACGCGTGTCAAAGAGCACCAGGTGTGTTTTCAATCGTCGGGTGTGCTCCAAGAGGAAGTCGAAAACTACTTCGTACACTATGAGATGAGTTCTAGGCGAAACTTCAAATGCTATCTCGAGTGCATCTTCAAAGATTTAGAATTTATAAATAAGGACGGCACAATTAATCAAGTTAACTTTGTTGAAGGTGCCGAAAAGGTATCGAACGAGATGTTCGAAACGTGTAATGCGAAAGTCGCTAAAGAAACCGACGGGTGCGAGATGATATATCAGTTCGTGTATTGCATTGTGCATTATGCCCACATATATCTTCAGTAAGGGAGTTGAACTGATAGTAGTAACCTCTTGTAATTTAGTTGGTTTTGGCCCGAGGCAAGAAAATGTGGAAAATTCGACAGATCTCCGATTTTGCAGATTTCTACATTCTTGTACTGACGATCGAGGCCGAGCTCACGTGTTTGTAATTTGTTATCACATAAAATGAATAAACAATTTTCTAATAAAGGCGTTTGTGTTGCTTTCAGATGTGAAATTATTGAGTGGCTCCTAAAAAACACGAGCATTATTTTAAAATAATTTCTGCAGTAAAATAGAATTCAGGACACCTTCATTACTGGCTTGGTTTGCGGTTGCAACGGACCCTACGCTGCAAATAACTGTATCATAAAGAATCGTTAAAATGCCTCCGATTAGCACTTACGGTTTTACCTCTTTTACTCTCTTTAGTTCTTCCGTCCTTTATCTGAAAGTTTGCTACAAATGGGTTTTTTGGTTTTGTTTTGTACTGCCCAGCAAAATAATAATAACAAAATGGTGAAACACTGTATATTGATCAGATCAGGAAATATTAAGAGCTTTTTAAGAATGCATCTCCATTTTTAGCGCATTTCCACAAAAATAAAAAAAAATGCGCTATTGTGGCCACTTTGTCCGTCCGTCCGTCCGTCCGTCCGTCCGCTAACTTTGCGACGCTACTAGTTTTTTATCTTAAGAGCTATTGTTCTACTTTTTTTGCTATTTGGTTCGTTATGGTGTCGAGTCTTGTACCAAGGAAGAATTTTTTTCTGTACCGCTTACAAAAAAAGTTATTGTAAAAAAAAACAAAAAACCGTTTTTTTACATGTTCTATAATTTTACACTTTTGCCGTTTATCCTAGAGAGAGATAGTTTATAATTTTGCATTGCTATCTGTCGCCTGCCGGTTGGTCTCTCCGTCTGTTCCTTGGTCTGTCTGTCCATCTATTTGTCCGTGTGAACGATAACTTTGTTTAGAAATGTTCGATCGCTTTTACATCTCCGTTAGTTATGAACTGAATTGCATGAAATTCAATATGGCATAGCTTTAGCCATATAATACGCAATGCCAAATAAGTTGAATCGAATCGATTCAAATTCACAAGTGCCCTTTTCGTCAATCTCGACCATTTATATAAAAACCGAATTGAAACTGTTTTTCTTAATAAAAGTATTTGATGAAATTTGATACATAGGCACTTGGAATAAAGGAAAATCAAACGCCAATTTCAAAATTTGGTTTTGCGCATGCGCAGTGCCAACTTTTTAATTTATGGAAGAATTTAAACGAAATTTGATACATAGGCACTTGGGATAAAGGAAAATCAAACGCCAATTTCAAAATTTGGTTTTGCGCATGCGCAGTGCCAACTTTTTTTTTTTATGGAAGAATTTAAACGAAATTTGATACAGAAGCACTTCGAATAAAGGAAAATCAAACGCCAATATCAAAATTTGGTTTTGCGCATGCGCAGTGCCAACTTTTTTATTTATGGAAGAATTTAAACGAAATTTGATACATAGGCACTTGGGATATAGGAAAATCAAACGCCAATTTCAAAATTTGGTTTTGCGCATGCGCAGTGCCAACTTTTTTATTTATGGAAGAATTTAAACGAAATTTATCCATAGGCAC